GTGAAACTGCTGGATGTCCTCATAATTAAAGATTCCACCAAGCATTCACAGACACTCGAACCTTTGCCCCTAAAGATATTTCACTGTTTGTTAAAAGTCTGAAAACAGACCTCGCCACTGCTGGATAAAAAGAGTGGAATTTGCAGCTTAATGCCACATGAATTACACTCAAATGCTATAATAACAGAAGCAGATGGGGATGAATGAACTGCTTCTGTGCCAACATTTTTAGCATATGAAAAAGGAAATAACGAGTAAAAGTCTAAAGTATTATTTAGGTATTTAAAACAATAATAGTAATAATTAATAATGTGAATGACGAGTTTGGAAATTAAAATGGAAACCTAGATGTGGTTTTTATGCCAAAACAAAGTGCCCAAAAGGGGATTGGTCTGTGATTTTTATAGTCCCGGAGGTCATTACAAAGTTGTTCCAGAGGAAAGACCCGTTCACACAGTTTACTCTAGGGATTATAAAGACCCTTGAAAAGCTGATCTGTTGCGTGGTGTTACCGAAAGAGCCCAACAGAGGAGCACATGTTTTCATTTGAAAGTTCTTTAAAGTTTTCCAGGTTCCTATTCCGTATGCCGATCTGGGATCTGAATGCATACAGGTGAAGCAGGGTAGGGGAAATTTGGTTAGCGACAGAGGAGTGGTTTGGAGGGAATGCAGGAGGAAAGATGGGTGACAGAGATATTTTCACCCACACAAAGACCCTTTTGACCCAGCAGTTTCCAGATGAACACACAAACACACACGCACACACACATGCTTCAGATAGATATAGACCTGTGCGCTGACGATGCATCCACATTTCCACTCACACCCTCCTACCATCGTCGTCATTATATACCCTCAAATACACTCGAAAAAGTTCGGCCCGACTATTCATGGGTACTGAGCAACGATCTCTGTACTCACATCTGTTGTCATAGAGATGGCATCTCGCACTCTCATGTGTGGGATGAGAGGTCAAGGTTCATGGTTGGTTCTTCTTGGGCTCAATGGTGCTCTGTGTGTCATCATGCAGACTTCCAGTAATCCCAGGCTACAGAAGGTCAAACCTGGTAGAGCTCTTTTATCAGAAACTAGTCTTTCAAACAAAAGAACCTACCTGTGACCCTGCAGACTAAGCAATCTGCACCATATATTCAAATTTTTAAGTGACCAACAAGTAAATTTCCCTTCCTAAATTGAAACCACACATACATCTGGCTAAGAGGGGAGAGTTTGCATAGCATGTCTTTGCGCGGAGTGTGTGTGTGGCTTTCTATGTTTGCACACACACATGGCAGCAGCAGTTAAATTTGATAAATGCTTTTGTTTACAGGAAAGCGCCATAATCTGTCTCACTCTTTATATAGGCAGTTTGTAAACTCACCCACATACGGTATGTCTGTGCTGCACGGAGGGATTAGTGTTGTAGCACGCATACAATCCCATGTGAGCGCTTATGGGCCCAAGTGTGTGGGTTAAACTAAATCACACTGGCAGCACGTTTGCAACTGACCCCTGGATTTATAAATACATCCTTACTGAAAATGACTTCTTTTCATTGCTTGCCCTTTGCAAACCAACCACTTCCACTGAGAATGCCACCAGCAGTTCAACATCTCTCTTGACGTAAGTGAGATGCTGTTGCTGAGATAGTTTATTGAGCTTGACAAAAGCCACTTCTAAGCTATGATGATGGTAAGGGGTCAGTGCCATATGCTAAAGCTTTATCAAGGGCAAGTTAGAGTTGAGAAGTCCAGCCCAGCCTGGGATCCAACCAGTGATTAAGGATTATGCTGCAGCACATTTTTCCTGCTTGAACTACTGCAGTTATCAAAGTTATCCTTCTGTTTATTTGCATTTATCTTACGCATTCATTGCTTACAAGTCCAAAATAGAGAAAGTGTTCCTTAGGAAAAGCTTTAACAGCTCTCCTTGTAAATTTCCAAAATACATTTGGAGGAAAGTTTCAGCTTTCTTGCGCAAAACATATTTCCACTCAGACTCATGCTTGGCTTGACTGGCTTCACGCAGCTCTCTGCTTAGATTTTTAAACCCTATTTAGGATTCATTCCAGGTAAGTTTGATTTGGATCATAAGAAATCCCACAAGAGGGACCAATGTGGTGAAACTGGTACTACAGACAGAACGGGAGGTGCTGATTGGGCTTAAATAGCTTTAATTAGAGCCAGACAAAGAGCTTTTCATACATATGTAGTGGCGCTGGGGATCGCAGAGAGTTTAGCTTAACGGTCTTGCAGACATGGAGGAATAAGCACGTAGTACATATTATACTTAAACAACAACAAGTAAAAATATAAAGGATATCTGAAATCACTGTGTAGTGCATAAAATGTCAGACTTTTTTTTTTTAATGCAGGTTTGCAGTACCTTCCTTGTAATTAACAGTTTAACACCAAGAACATAAGGGATACCACAGGCACAGCTGTGCTAAGCGCTAATATCAATGAGGTAATTGACATTAGGGGATAATGCAATGTGCTGATAGGATACAACAAGTTGTTGATTGGTGGGGGTGATGTAATTTTTCAGACAAAAACAAAAGGAGAAAAAAATTGACACCAAAATTGTCAGAATTCCTCTGAATTCTGATTTTTTTGTGGTACATTTTATGTAAATCAACACAGTATGTGTTAAAACTGCTACTGTTGTTTCCCTCTATGGGTACTGCTGGATAAGAGGAGCACATTTTATTACAATCCGTTAAAGGGTTATGATATTTCAGTTTGGGCAATGCAAACGTGCTGCCGTCGTGGTTACAAACAAATGTCAGGCTGAATCCTTACATTTTATGGGACAGTAAGTGAGAAACAGAGGAAGAGAGCTCCTGTAAGAAGACTAGATTTATTTAACTTCCTTGGAAAAAAGAAGTCTTTCATTAGCCCAGAATGGGATTCCTATGGAGTGTTGGTGCAGTCTGCTGCAACAGTTCAGTCGGAAGTAGAAAGTCCAGTGAAGCCATGTGTTCTTTGTCTGTTTACAGTGCTTTTATTAGGCATCCTGTGGCACAGGCAGCCTTTTCAAAGACCGTCTTTATAGAAGCTTTCCTGTTTATGCTCAGGGGTGGGAGGTCAGCACTCGCATCCCCATGCTGAATATGGTCAATCTGTCTGCATAGGAAGACTTTGTGTGTGAGTATATGTGTGAGTGCTGGGTTGATAGGAGGGACTTGGAAGGCTTTTATTTTCATGACTGCGTCTTGTTTGGTTATTGTGGCTGTTTTGCCTTTGAGGTTTAGGTCAACAGGTAGGATAAAACACACACTTATTTACATTTATTAAAAAAAAACCAATAAACAAAAAACCCTCAACAACAGACAGAATCGTTTTTTATGAAAATGTGTTCGATCTGGTTGGAGGTGTCAGGGGGTGGTCAAAGACACTTACCCGAGGACCCCTCTTGCCTAGCACGCCTGGCTTCCCTGGAGGTCCAGGCAGCCCCTACAGAAAGATTATTTGGTTAGTGTTGCAGTCTGATACACCATTTATACAGCACAATGACTAAGTATATTCATTTAGCATACACTGACAGAACCAGACTCTCATCCAATGCATTTTCTCGGTGGATTCATCTACATCACAGAGGCTGCCATTCATCCACAGGGTGAAAAAAACCGCACACAAAGCGACACCTTTTCCCTCTGAAGTAATTCCATCTCAAGGTGTTGAGAGTTCACCCTTAGCCATCGAGAGGATTTGAGCCCTTGCGGCAGGAAATCGTAGAAACACTAGAAATAACAGGTCATTTCCTGCACCGCTCAATGCCCCTGTGTGTCTAAATCAGGCCCGTGCTCATTTGTTTTCTTTTAATTGAAAAAGAGGGAGAAAACGCAGAAATGAGGGAAAACAGTATTTTTGGTCATTTTGGCAAAAAAGGCAACAATGTGAGCTTCTGGTTATTAAAGCATCTTGTAGTAAAGTGTATATATAACACATTTTACATATTTTGTCCTCAAAAAAATCGATAAATAGTCGAGTAGTAAAAAAGAAGCAGCATGTCGCTTTTTGATATTGACTCATTTTAGCTCTCAAAAAGAATTTAAGAAAGAAGAGACTAATTCAACAACAATTTAAATAAAGAAAACCACAACTCATTCTTTACACACACAGACATCATGTCTGATCCTCAGGGTTATTCTAATAATAGTCACTACCTGCATAAAGTGTGTCTGTCTATTCTCTGATTTATTTATTTATTTATTTATAACTGTGCTGGAACCATCTCCTCCTCCGCAATGACCTCCTAAGTAGAGACCACCCTTACTGTTGCAGGTGGTGTGCCCTATGGTGGCCTGAAGACCTGTCAACGTCAACATACACCAGTGTCCGTCTTCACACTTACACCCCCTGCCTCGGCTTTCCTTTCTTAGCCTGGTTTGTTTATTTACTTCACTGTCTTTTCCTTTTTGCACCTGTCAATCTTACCTCATTTCTTTTCTCTAAGACAATTTGTTCAGGCTTCTAGAAAGGATGCTTTCAGTTATGCTGGCTGTGCTCGTCTGCATATATGAATTGTGCATTGCTGTGCACAGAGTTGTCCTTTGATACACGAAAAACTCTGTTTCTACGTTTACAGCGATGAAAATCGTGCTTGGTGAGTTTGAAAAACGCGTTTTTAAGGTTTCCGTTCTAAAAGCTTATATATAAAGTGCACTTTAACTGAGCACAGAAGTATGTTTCCATACAGTCAATTCAGATTCAAATTCAATCTCAAAAAAATGCAGTGGAGCAGATGTCAAAGGAAACCATTTTTCATGGTAGGAGTGAGGCGCCAAAGGTGCTTCAGAAGAGCGACTGCAGCATGTATATGTGCCTGAGCTGGATGTTTCTTCTGGCAGCTGGAGCTCTGTTTCTGTGCAACAGGAAGTCCAAATCACACTTCTGCTGTAACTGTTAAAGGCTCTTAAGGTGTGCAAGAAAAGCGTGCACATAAAATGTTGTGCTCTTGGGAAAAGAGTTGGCACAGTACACTAATGGCATGCGTAAAAAAAAAAAAAAAAAATCAAGATCCATACTGAGAGGAAACCATAACTGGGTTCACTCGGGATCTCTGATGGTACTACACAGTTACACAGAGACAGAGCAGGAGGCACGTGTATGTGCAGGCATCCACATTTAAAATAAATAGGTCTTCCAGTCTCATAATATCTTACCCAGTCATTGAAGTCAGACAAAATGCACATTTTCATGCACTTTTAAGATAAAGCCCAGAGCATTTCTATGGCTTTATTGTACTTCAGGGCCAGAACTCCACCACAACCTACCCTACATTTAGTGCAACTTAACCTACATTTAGCATAAGCCTCAGCACAGTATCAGCACTTGTGGATATGCCAGACAGTCCTTTGGTAAATAATCTTCAAACTTCCCTTACTGATCCTTCTACAATTTATTTTCTTCGGTAAATGACTGCACTTCATATCAAGATTACAGGTCCTGGTTTCTAAATGCCAGCAACTTGGCTCACCTTAATGACAGTAAAGCATCTACTGGACATCACTACAGAGGTAAATTAGCAAGCCCTAGACACACTGTATTCTGCAGTCTACAGCACCAAATGACAGGCTGCTGCAAAGAATAAGCAAGGCACACGTATCAAACGAGCAGGCCCTGCTTGCACTTTACACTAAGATGACTTAATCACAGGTACAAGTATGAACACACCCAAGAGACACTGACAGAGACATTGTGGTCTGATCATTCTGACCACATTTTGAGTTGGGAAACTGTGTAGACAGTTGTGTACACAAAGGTATTCTCTGCTTCGTGGAGACAAGCACATTTTCTGAGACGTGTTCTGATGCTGAAGGAGGGCCTCGCCTAACTTAAACTGTTAGCAGTCGGACGTACCGCCCACGGGACATTGGATGGTTTAGGGGACTAATAGGACTGCTAAGGGGTTAACGCCTGTATTGGGAAGCTGAATGTTTGCTGACTGCTTTAACCTTTGACCTGGACCTGGCTTTGAAACGAGACCATGCAACCTCCACCAGAACTCTCTGAAAGAGGAATCTGGTGCTGAGACGGCAAGGCGTCAGACCTGACATGTCACAGCCAGACTGGAAGGCTCTGTGCATGGAGTAAGGTGAAAAGAATTAGAGAAATATAGCAGGGCTTCAAACCTCTGTGGCAAAGGAGACTGTTCCATATTAACCTAAATATCTGTGTGGTCTTTTTCTAACCCAAAAACACCTAAATCAAAACTGCACTGGTCTTTGTTACAAGTGACAAAGACCAGTGCAGACTGGGATGAGCTAAAAGAAAAGCTCCATTCACTTTTATTGCTTTACTAATGTAAACTTGCCACACACAGCTGCAGGCACAGAGATGAGACATAGTCTGTGCACTGCTTGCTCACCTTGATTTTGCAAAACACCAAGATTTTTTTTCTTGTAGCATTTGCACACAACCAGTCTCACTAAACAGCTCAGGTTGACCAAAAGTTCTTACCTGCGGTCCTACATTTCCTTTCTCTCCCTTAGCTTCTACCAGCATGGAGAATTGCGTAGGTGGCACCTCCCAGCTCTGGAAGCCATCAGTAGCAGGTGGTGTAACTGGGTTGTATGAAGGTTTAGTAGGTCTTGGGGTGACTGGAGCCTTGGTGGTCATTGGTTGCTTTGTTGGCTTAGGGGTTTTAGCAGCTGTAGGTTTGGGGGTGGCTGATTTTGAGCGGTTGACCTTTGATGTTGTTGGTTTAAAAGGAGCATCTTTTAGAGAATCTGGTTTGGGTTTGGACGGAGTGGCTTTCGATGATGTAACTTTAGACTTGGAAGGAGTTTTACTGGCTCTGGTGGGTTGGGGTTTCTTTGGGACTGCACCTTGGTCTAATAATGCAGGTTTAGGCTTTGTCTTGGAGGGTTTGGTGCTGGTACTGACTGGTATCGTAGGTTTCTTGGAATTGCTTGTTCCCACACTTGCATTTTTTGGGTTGTTTTGAGGGGTGGGTTTTGACAGAGTGGGTTTAGAGAGTGTGGGTTTTGAGGGACTGGGTTTTATCGGACTGGGTTTTGATGGAGTGGGATAAGAGAGACTGGGTTTTGGTGGACTGTGTTTTGATGAAGTGGGTTTTGGTGGACTGTGTTTTGGGGGAGTGGGTTTTGGTGGACTGTGTTTTGATGGAGTGGGTTTTGGGGGAGTGGGTTTTGATGAAGTGGATTTTGATGGAGTAGGTTTAGAGGATTTCTGATTAAAAGCTTTAGGACTGGAGGGTCTTGCCGTTGATGGTTTCGTGGGTGGTGCTCCTGTCCTGAGTGGTGTTGTGACAGTGCTGGTTCTGGTCTTGAGAGGTGGTGAAACCAAACCAACTTGGTCTGTAACTGGTATCACAGTTCCCAACAGGGTCTTTGGGATGATGGTCCCTTGGTTCGGTTTTATCGTTTGGGTGGGGGCCACATATCTGACAGCTGAGGCTGCAGCAGCAGCGCTCCTGGCGAGGCTGAACCCTGTGGTTTTCCTGGCGGTTACTGGGTTTCCACGTTTAGGGGTAGCAGCAGTAGCTGTGATGTTTCTTTCTCTCGGTACAATAGGCAGCAAAGGAGAAAGGTTAGGCCTGTACGTGTCAGCTTCCCTGCACTGTTTCTTAATGTACCTGCAATAGTTGTGAGCTGCCTGTGCAGAAGGGACCAGATCAAACTGGCAAATGGCTCCTTCAAAGTGTGCTGAAGTTTGCTGCTGGCTTGTCCTCCCCAGCAGCAGCGAGCCATGGAGCTCTGGAGCCAGCCCCTTTTCACTGTCCCACCCAAAGTCTGCATGAACACTCTGCCCTCCGCAGGAGGCATATAGAGTCACTCTCTGTCCATTAATTCCCAGACCCAGCTGGTGCCACTGGCCATCGTGGGGCTCATAGGGCAGTGCCACAGAGGTATTTGGTCCCGTGTGTAGGACCAGGTTTCCCGGTACAAGCTGTAGACCAAGAAGCAGCTTCTTGTGGTCTGAGAGCAGGGTGAAAAGGAAAGCGCTGTTGATACGGTGAGAGCGTACACTCAGGACCAGCGTGAGGTTAGGCCAGATGGCCGGAGGAAAGATTGATCGCAATGGAGCCTCAATATGCGCCCGCTGGTTAAGGATGATCCCCGATCTGAACGGAATGACTCCTGCCGGCAGACTGCGTGATGTCCTCTCTCCCTTAAGCCCCAACTTTTGGAGAATGTCCACATCTGTAGAGGAAGAAAAGGGCTGTGTTAGATAAGCAGTGTTTACAACATGCTTGTTTGTGATGTTTATGGTTATTATTATCTCATATTTTTGGTACCTGGTAATCATCAGGAACAAGATAAAATAAACAACATAGGAAACTTTAGAAATATAAATCAAACATCACGCAAGAACTACAAGAGAACACACTGAGATCTGGACTAGTTTTAAACTTTTACTGTAATTTGTGCCCAAATTGTAACATGTTTTAAATGGTTGTGGAAAAATAATTTAAATGTCAATGATACAATTTGAATTCTTGCATAAGAATTTGGTGCAAAACATTTCACTTTTTCAAAGTTTTGTTTTAACTAAAGACTCCTATGCTACGAGAGGCTTGCATCATATCCATATTGCAGCAGTTCACAAAATACTGTAGCTTAAACACTGAAGAGTGAAGAGACAGGCAAAAAGAAAGAAAGATTCAAAACAATAATGAACTCAGCAGACTTTGAGCACATCTAAGTGCTTCTGTAGATGGTTTATAGCAACTTTAGGCCAAAATAAATTTATGTCCAGACAGGCAGGAGTACGTAGCAATCTTGTTTCTTATGTTGCTGAACAGCACAGAGGTCTACTTCAAATGTCAGTGGCTTTGCTAATTCACATTGCTCCAATATGTCTGGCTTTTGTGATGCCTTGAACAGCTTAAAGTGTCGCACAAGGGCAGCGTGTGTACACCACATTCTGTACTGCACGCACAGTGAAATATAATGTTGATCTTTGCCAGTAATCTAAAACCTTACTGAACCCTATAACACTAAAACTCATAGAGATTCATCTCAGCTTACTGTGATTAGAGTTTAAAAGGTCAAACGTTCAACAGGAATTATTAGAAATCCTTTGATAAGACAATCCAAATGTGTTGCAGTTAAACCTAAACACCTCTCCCAGTGTATGCCTATTATCCTAATTTTGTCTTTCCTCTGGACCCCATAAACCTCAAATGAAATTTTGGTTATATAGAGCAGAAAAGAATGGATATATGGTCATAAAAAATAGAATGCTAAACCAATTAAGCATTGCACTCACTGCAGGTGAGTCAAGGCTAAAGCATCCAGCCAGTACCAGGAACGTACAAGCAGACTAGAGGACCTAATCCTTTCTTAGTAGCCACCTGGCCAACGCACTTGAAAAGCAAAAGCGAGGTCACTGCATGCTTTGTAATGCTGACAAATATGTGTTTGTTGCAAATGTGTGTTTGAGGCACACATTTTATTCATCTCTGTTCATATTAATGCATGCATGCTGTACTGTAAGCTAATGTTCAAGTGCTGACAATGTTAGCTATACTGATAGACACGTTTCTTTGTGTCTCTTTGTTTTTAAGCCTTTAATTTGCGAGGGAATGAACTAAATGACATCAGCGTCATCATGTAACCTCTTTCCCATCTCGTCTCTGTCCTTCTCATCAGTATGTAGTCAGCGTGGACATTCAGAACATGGCCACAGAAACCACAAGTGAGTACAACATCTCTCAACTCGAGAGTTCGGAGCACAGTTTCCAACCTTTCAGCCAACTTTGACTCTCTGTTCAGAGTTTCAGTCTCAGTAGTCCCACAGCCCTCATTCTCTCCATGACCTGTGATCTCAGACCTAGGCCCCTCACCATTTTTATTGTCTGCGGGCTCACTCTGACCTGTGGTCACTGGGGCCTGTCTAATGGGGACATGTGTATAGAATCCATGGAAAAGCAGTGTTGATGAGATACCAGAAAAAGTGGGAAAGACAGCTGGGATGTGCTGCACTGGTAAACTATAGAGAGTGAGGACTTGAATGACATGCTTGTCTTTCTATAATACAAGGCTTGCTTTATTAAACTGTTGGGCCCCAGACTTTGAAAATACATATAATTGCAGGGAAAGTTTGAAGGAATATTTGAGCTGAGAGAAAAAGAGGTTTAGAAAACTTTGACATTAAACATATGCAAACTCAAAACAGAACCTTGAGTTAAACGACTCTTTCTCCGCTGATTGCTTTAAGTTCTTTATGGTACTTACGTGCTATGTATAAGACTGTAAGACTTCCCTTTAGTTCAAACCATTAGAGCTTTATAAAACAGGAATAATATTCACACTGTGCATGGTGTATATTGCTCTCTGTGTGGTCTCTGATGCATTAAAGGACAACAGGAACTTGGCAATGAGGCAGGCGGGTACATTACCTCTATCTGTTCTGTACATTGTCTCCAATTCTTCTATTCTACTGTTACAGAGGCATAAATTAACAGCACAGTCTCAGATATAAAGCATACTGTAAGTGTCTGAGCAGATGCATGTTTAACACATGGCCAGAGTTTATAGTCTCGCAATGTGCCAATTCACTCAAACAGGATAGAGTGAAAGTCCAAGGCTCTTTTCTCTGATCGTATCCCTTGTAGAGGATGAAATCACTGATTTATACTGAAATAATCCCTTTCGGGCCGATCTGTGCTAGTTTACAATAGTTTATGATATTTCCTCATCATCCCCAATCACCAACACAGCAATATATTGCCTGAATTCCCTGAATATCATATTTGGAATCATCACTTATTAGACTACTGAATATGTTTAAAACGTGAAACTAAGTCTTCGTCTTATGATCAATGCTTAGATAAGGGACAGAACATGGTAAAACATGGTCTATCTGGAATTTTCCTGTTTTTCCTCAACCTTCTGGCAATTTATTTATTTAAATGTTTCAAGAGACACACAGACAAGGATGGAGAGCTGAATGGGGAGTCATATGATTTGGAAACTCAAGAATGAAAGTGAGGGATGACGTGCAAATGCAGATGTTGTTCACCATAATCATTACCTGGCTGTTCCCCTTTTACATTTTAAAATTTGTTCCACTGCAGAAAAAAAATGCTAAATTTTTTCCTAATAAAATCATGTCAGTGTTCAATATACAACTTAATCCTTGACTCTGGCCTCCAAAAGAAGTCTTAGGCTGCACTGAGGTATCCGTGTGCCAGGGGACAGTGAGTTGCACACAGGCTGATCAGCAAGAACGTATTGCTGAACATTCCTCCTCTTATTGTTCATCCTTTCACAGTTCATTGCATTTCACAGTTCAAAACAGAGACTCTTTACTGAATAAAAAGGCTAATTAGAGGATGAAACGGAGCCTAAAAACTAAACTCAGCTTTCAAAAAGGAGCCAAACATGTCCAACTAACTTTATTAGGTCTGACTACTAAATTTTACACCTCTGGTGAATTATCACCACCAAGACTTGTTATGTTACATTAATTGTTAACACCAG